TGGCATCACATCCTGTTGTATCCAGAACCGTGCTTTATCCAGAACCATGTTCCGCCACGGTTCTAGTTCTAGATAGTCCATTCATATCCAGAACCGTGGCATCACATCGTGTGGCATCCAGAACCATGCTCAGCCACGGCTCTGGATGGTCCATTCATATCCAGAACCGTGGCATCGCATCCTGTTGCATTCAGAACCGTGCCCAAGCACGGTCTGGTCTGGATAGTCCATTCGTATCCAGCACCGTGACAAATCTACATTCTTGGAGGCTATCCAAAACAGTGCCTGATCCTAACCTTAACGTCACCCTGCTGACAGGCATAGAACTAGATAGGCACGGTTCTGGATACGTTCAAACTGTTTGTCTCCGTAACATCGGGCTATGGTGTGAAGCGGTCGCTCAGGCCGGTTCAGCCCGCTCAAATTGAGACATCAGTACCCTTCCGGAACAATTTTCCCAGCCAGAGACAGCGGAAACGTCACTCTCTATCAACGTAAACCCTCCCCCTAATCCACATAATTCCATTGCCCGAAATCCGCCGGTATTGCGGACAAATCCGCGCAAATGCGCCGAGCTGATCCACGGGTATCAACCGCTCTTTGCGAAAATTAGTTGAGGTCGGCCCGCGCTCTAGTTTGTTGTACAGTACGTCCCCCGGTCGTTAATACTGGGTTCTGACTTCCCCGGTCTAATTTTGCACGGTTGGTTATAGCCTTGCAATGTAATCTTCTTCCCCTTACTGGTAGATTAGGCCGCCGGAACACGGAATCGATAGAGAAATGAGAAACACAAGACAATTTTCGGCGCGAGCAGAATTAGGTTCCCGGTCCGGAGAGAGATGGTAGCGATAGAGTTGCTGACATATTGGCAGCACCGCACGTCTTCATAACCCCGGGTCCGGCCTGCAACAAATCGGCAATCAGGCATGCAAATAGCCGCAAAATTACGCAATTTCACTTCGCAATTTACCAATTTGCGCGACAAATTTGCGCCTTTATTCGGGACAAATTGCTAATCGCCCCTTGCATGAGGCATGGGCGTCAATATACCGCAACGATACGGCCCTGTAGCGATAGCTTTCCCCGTAATGTACAACTTAATGTCCCGTTCTCTCACCAACTTCTCATCCTCACCTACAAAAATCGCTGTTTTTATTCCCTTCGTGTCTGAATATCTTGCCCTTCAATCTAGCACTCAAGTCCATAAATCATACCTATCTGAACACCCCGGCTCATTACTCTATCTTTTATCACTTTATTACCCAAGCCGGCATCATTGAAGATGTGTCACCTGCAAGGGCATCAAAACACGTCCTAATTGTACCTTGGAGGAATATGGGAAGGGGGGGAGTTCTGTGGTAGAAATTTAGGAACTTCTGAGCCCCGTTTCAGACTAGAGGCGGTCTAGCTAAGCAGGCGTTACTCCTCGCCATGCCCGGGTGCGAAAAGCCGCCGCGCGCCGAACGATCAATGCCATCAACGCCGGGTTTATTGGACCTAATGACATGTTTTCGCAGATTAATATCGTAGCGGGCCAATCACAGCGTGCCTGCGGGGACCCGGCGGACCCGGCTCGGCTTTAATAATGCAGCGCAGGCTTGTCCGGAGTCGAACAATTGTGCCCTCCCGCGCTGACCCCCATACATTTTCCAGATATCATTATCCGGCTTTATGGGTGCGGTGTGTGGAAAGAGCATATCCCAGAAATCCCTGTAATCCATCATGGCGGACAGGGTGGGGAGGGGGGCACGGTACGATGGACACGTCATGTGACGTCTGCTTCATGTCGGGAGACAGGTGCTTCCGAAAAAATTCTACAGTTCAGGGAGAACCGAATGACTAAAGAAAAAATGCCGTCTTTCGTAAAGTTTGTAAGGTTTCTCTAGCACATTTCATGTTACTTTGGGAGGGGGGGTGGGGTGAGCTTAATCACGATACTAGTATATCACCTATTAAGCCCACTGCTATAGTGTTCAGACACCTTTTTTTAAGTTTAAAAACTTTGAGAGGATTTTACATCAATAAAGTTACCAAAAGGTACTACTTTTGCAATAATAACTGGACGGCTCAAGGAGAGGAATAGGAAGAGTCATTTGATGTTACTTTCTTTTGTTTAAAGCCCTTTCTGTTCTTTTCGCAACTCTATATTTACTTTTACTTCACCCCTCCCCTTTCGTTCTTATTTTACGACAAAGCAAATCCGTAATGATCAATGTTGTGACTTTAACCCTCAACCTGCTAAAGTAGTTGTTTGTCGCCAAGTTTGTATCGGTTACGGACTTAGGTTAGCAGGGAGAAGGTTAATATATTATCTCCACTGCAGTATCATGTAAGAGACTTTAATATTTATACTACTATAACCACACAGGCACGGAGCCTTGTCAAATTTTACATCAGAAGACAAATTGACCTTTACTTATTTATTCAAAGGTATAAAACAAGCCAACACAAATCTGTTCTGTACCATAGATGTGTTTCCTTTTTCTTTGCTACTGTTTTTCTAATGTACAATTTTATCTGTATATACACAAATATTGATTAATATTGAATATTTGAATATAAATCCGTTGCATAGATTATAAATCTACAACGATTGCCTACGTGAGTGTACTAATGTCAGAAAAAGTATTGTTTGATGTGTGTATACGTATGAATACTATATAGGCTAATTACCTAGAATATTTGTCAATTATTTTATACGGTCATTACGTGCTGGAAAAGAGTTCTTTCCCACAAACGTGCACAATGTGACTATCAATTGTTTCATGATTTTAGAGGAGCAATTCCTGTTTTAATTTGTCACTGTTTGTGCGATTCCTGACATTTTCTATATTCATAGAGACCTTAAACCCGCCACTAGGTGTCACACATATATAAACATCAGCCCTGCCCGCCATGTATTAACAGTGACACAGTCTGCCGACATACCCAATTTGAATCCTCCGGTTGAACACACATCTTTCCTGTAACCACACAGACGTTGCCTCCGTAGCAGGCTTATAGAACTGGGGGTTGGTGGTCTTCGGCTGTTTCTGATTAGCCCAGTTCTACAAAACACAGGAGTTATTCAACCAGGCCGGCTATGTTGTCTATATGCAATCAGAAAATAGCACATAAAAGACCCTGAACTACCCCCCCCCCCCCCCCACGTTTTTGGCATGCTATGGAGGCTAACACAGACGAGCGTTCCGCTCCCAAACGCAATTTCTCGCCTCCCTCCAGCCGTGAAAACGCAATCCTGCCCCTTTTGTCGGGCTGGGTAGCCGGACTTGTTGCCGACAATGCGGCGGGTAAGTGTGTGTGACGGGGTTTCACCGTCAGCGCTTGATCTCAATTCGCCGTGCCCAGTTAACGTTATTCTCCAATAGGCTCCATAGCATGCCAAAAAACTGGAGGTTTTGGGGGTCTTCAGTGTCTTTGAGAGCTTTTATGTGTTATTTTCTGATTGCATATAGACAACATAGCCGGCCTGGTTGAATTACCCCTGTTTTTTTTAGAACTTGGCTAATCAGAAAACAGCCGAAGACCACCAAACCCCCAGTTCTATAAGCCTGCTTCGGAGGCTAACTCTCCAAGCAGAGGTTCAAGCTTTGAACATTAGCACATTTAAAGTACCCTCCAAAAAGATCTGGAAAGCAAGGGGGTATCATGAAGGATGCCGAGTCTCTCGCCAAAGACAGAGCAGAGTGGAGAAGACTTGCTGCCCAATGTGCCTTGCACGGGAGGAACTAAGTCTAAGTAAGTAAGGGTATTCCAACTGCAGAAACAAACCCCAAGATGAGTCCTTCATTTTATGGGTGGTACCCTAAAAATCAACCCTTCCAGTGACCATTTTCCGTCAGAATTTTGGGTATTTTTGCTCCGTGATGGTCAATATACATTGGTATCGTGTATTTTCAACTCAGTATGTAGATAAGTGACTGGAATATTGACTTTGAAAAATAGAGTTTCCAAGCCCTAAAAACTGCACGGGATGCCTTTAAAATCCACTCCACAGTTTTCGCTGTAGCTGTAACGTTACCGTCATGTACATAGTGGCTGGCTGTGGGCAGGTTAAAGAGGTAATACCGTAATGGCAGGAGCGATACACGCAGCAGATTGCTATTTAATTACGTGGAAAGCCCCGGTCTATACACATTGTTGCCTAACATCATTAACAGCCCATCCGTCTTCTCTGCTAGCGCTCTGGTGCAGTGGCTGTGGTTGATTGGTATGTTACACATACACACACAATGACATACACCACATACGCGCGTGCACACACGCACACACACACACACACACACACACACACACACACACACACACACACACATTCCTCCACCGGCCTCGCCCGACTGCATTGCATAGCTAATAAAGGTTCACCTTTGTCAACCTTGCGTGGCAACCAACAATGGCGACTATGTCTAGTGTTTCTCGGGGACATTAAAATTTATAGCGCTCATCTCGGCTATTTTTGCCCGGGACAGGTGGGTTGGATAGCCGGTGAGGATTTCTAGTCCCCACCCTGAGGTTTTCCTCCTGTACCCCTGGGCTTCTCCCTCGCTCTCTTGGTCCATTAGAAACTACCCCTGACGTCGGGCCATAGATAACGTGTCCAGTTAAGGCGCCCCCATGTTTATACGATACGTCAATTCCCGTTTATAAACCGTACATGGCGGGCAGCGGTGCCCGGAGTACAAGTTACGGGCGGCCGGCCGGGGAATATGCAGGCCGAGTTGGCAACACAACTAATAATGTCGACCCACGGACTACGTCCGTAGCCACTACAGCACTAGCAGTAGAACAGGTGTGCACGTATTCAAACGGGAGGAGGCTACGAAACTGGGCCCTCCTAATAAAACTAGGCAGCTCAGTCGACTTCTCATACACTCCTAAAGCCTAGATTCCTATTCTATAGATTAAACTGAATCCCTGGTCAAATTGCCTTAATAAATGAGAGCTTATGAAGTTTAGAAGCGGTTTTAACGATGTACAGTGTTATAAGATGTGGTACTCACTTTGAGATCGGCGACTTGACTTTAGCGATGGGGTCTTTCTCGCTCCACGGCGTTAGGACCTTTTCCTTCAGCGAATCGAAGCCTCCGAAAGGCATGGCGATGTTGTACGTACTCCGTCCGTTCTGCCCAAGCTGTAGACTCGACACTCTCTCTTCTCGGACTAACAGAACGCTGGGGGTACGGGGGGAGGGAGCCGGGCGATGCTCAGGCCCGCTCGGCTGCTAGACAGACCGTCATGTTCTCGCGTTCGGCTCGGAGGCGAGACGCACAAAGTTGCGCGGCGTCTGGACCCTGTACAGGGCTGGGACACACTGTAGGCAGCGGCACGCTGTCTGTCCTTCCTCCGTCACACAACCACGGACCGTACCAGAACAGACAATGTCTAAAGAGACACGTCTGAAGGACTCTTTCAGGCTGTTCTGTAGGCGAGAGAAAGAGAGAGGAGAGAGAAAAGCGTGATCACTTAGCTCGGTCTCATCTCACATTAGCTAATTGAATTTACATCAAGCCCCCTCCGAATTATTTATTTGATGACGCCTGGCATAAATATTGCAACTCTGTTTATCATATCCGGAGGGGAGAGAACGCATGCGCAAGAGGAGCCCTGGCGGCTTGCCGGGGCTTTTAGTAGCCTCCTTCGCAGTCTTGTTGGGCGTCGGCGTTTTTTTTCTCTGAGCGACGCGAGTAATATGCGGCCGCGAGGGACGATTTGCTGCCGAGGGAGTTTTTGCCACGGAGAGAAGGTTTCGCGCTCCAACACCTTCTCTCCGTGGCAAAAACTCCCTCGGCAGTAAATCGTCCCTCCGCGGCATATTACTCGCGTCGCTCACAGAAAAAATAACGCTGACGCCCAACAAGACTGCGAAGGAGGCTAGGCTTTTAGAGGAGAGAGCAACATGTCTCAGCGGACAGGCGGTCGAACTGGAACCCACCAATAGCTACACGCCTCTACAAGCCATTAATGAAAGTCGGGGGAAAGTCAGGCCTAGCCCACGGAAAGCGTCTTCATCTGTAACGGATGAAACATGTGCCTAGCCCCGGTTGTGTATCCAGAACCGTGCCTATCTAGTTCAGTCTATGCCTGAATGGGTTATAGGGTAAGGATCAGGCACGGTTCTGGATAGTCTTCACGTATCCAAGAACGTAGATTTGCCCAATTCTGGCTACGCTCTACAAAGCACGGTTCTTGATAAAGCACGGGTCTGGATACCACAATCTTCTCTTTGATTTAGAAATCTAATCTCTAACTGATGAGATATAAGCTCTGTTTCACAGACCGTGTACACATATCTCACGCACTGCGTGTCGACACTGTTTTCTAGCATGTAGGTAATCTTTCATGGCAGAGATCAGAAAAAAGGGGTCTGAATTTCTCGCCTGTGCTAGAGGTGACCCGTTTCTCTTTACCTGGTCGCTAGGGAGGATGGAGGGGGAGGGGGGTCGTATTTTAGCTGAGTACAAATTAGGCCACTGTGGGTCGCGAAGAGTGCCGTATTAGCCTCCACCAGGCCTTCCTAAAGGGAGCTAGGCAAGGATATGGTCTGACTGGCCGGGGAAGTCACAGGTCCACAATTGCGGCCAGATGAAGTCTACGGTGGTAAATCGCTGATTATTTTGCTTGTGGCAACATTTTACTGTTTTGACTCCGCGTTGCTAGTCTGGTGCAGACTTGAGCCATATGACTGCCGGGTGTACAAGTGTGCGGGGTGGCAGGGGGAATGTTGCCCGGAGGAAACTTCCGCCAGCCCGGCATGGCTGAGAGCAATTCGCCTTCTGGCGTTTCCGGTCGGCCTGCCTTCTCTCCCTCACACACACACAGACACACACACAAGGGCGGGGCCTGAATAATGGCGCACACGCGCCGGGTATTACTTCTTTTATGATCTGTTTGTTTGGCTAAATAACCAGTAAATTACCTGGGCGTGGTGACTGTCACTCAGGCTATCATGTCTCAATTAACGGGGGCGGATCGTTCGACACTGGAATTTTGCTGTACTCTCCAAGCAGAGGTTACAGGCTTCGGCTATCGAATAGCTATGACCGATGGATGGGTGGATGGATGGAAAGATGGATTGAAAGATGGATTGATTGATGGATGGAAAAATGGATGGATGGACGGATGGATGGATGGATGGATGGATGGATGGATGGGTGGATGGATGGATGGATGGATGGATGGAAGGATGGATGGATGGATGGATTTTTGACGTGTATGGTAATTCCTTTTTATACTTCTTTATATACTACCTGGCCAATTTAATACCATCAGGCATCCACCAAAAGATCTGCCGAAGACTAGTTTGGTTGGACGTACGGCATAATTCTAATATTATTGAGAACACCGTCCTAGCATTTCGTTATTCCTCTAGTCTTAAAAACGCAAGACAAAAGGTTGCTCTTTTTTTCTTTTTTTTTTCTGTCAGAATACCTCTCTCCTTGCGTTTGAGAATGAGTCCGAGATCTTACAGAATTCCCATAAACTAGACAAAGCCCAGCGTTTGAAAAACGGAATTTTATATCTATATATGAATCGGAATTCTCCTTTGGTGGTTGTATTATCATTGGGATGACTGTGTCCCTCCCCTCTGTACTGTACCATTAATAATGCAGGAGCTCTGTCCATACAACACCCCAGGTCTCCCAGGGGACGGTATTCTCACGTTATAACCGCCTGTCAGGTGCGCTGGCCTCGCGGTATGATGGATATCTCACTATATGCTGTATCCAGAACCGTGCTTTATCCAAAATCACGCTCTGGTACGGTTCTGGATAGTCCACGCGTATCCAGAACCAAACCCAGCTGGACATATCTACGTTCTTGGATACGCAGAGACTATCCAGAACCGTGCCTGATCCTAACCTTTTCAACCCATTCAGGCACAGAACTAGATGAGCACGGTTCTGGATACAGTTTCCTAATACAGTTTCACATTCCTGGCTCGCAGGTATTGTTTAGTCTCTCCTCAGACTCCTTTGCAGGCCAAATTAGTGGTAAAAATCGGCCTATAAAGGAACGTAACTGGCCAAGGGAGTTAGCTGGCCAGGCAAATTGGGCCCTCTATGCCCTGCTAATTTACCACGCAAGTTACAGTCCTTTTTAGGCCGATTTCTACCACTTATTCAGCCTGCAAAGAAGTCTAGTTTGGAGACTAGGTCTGGTTGTTATGACTAACGCGAGCCCGCGGTACGGAAATGGCCGACAGGAGGGCTCGCGGTCCCGACCCATGTTCGCCTAAACACTCGGTAATTGCCGGGTAGGTCCGGAGACGTCTCGTTAACTGTCAATTTGGGGCGCGATTTCATCGATTAGAATAATTGCCCCATGCCCCGACATAAACGTCTCAATTCCGACGTGTGAGCCAACTTTTCCATAACGGGTACAGTTCTCTCGCTAGATTGGCGTGAATCCACCGGATTTTCTACTTTTGTTTCATCTTTATAGTACACAATGTCGCCATCTTGTTCTATTTCGGCTCTACAACGTTAAAGCTTGGTGCACTGTTTTAAGTGGATGAACCTTATGCGACAACATGCACCACTCACAGCAGCCAACATTAAACCATCTCAATTCTCTGCTATAGACTCTCACCTTAAGGAACAGCTCAACCTCAAGGGAAGCCGTCGTTTCTCCTTTAAGATGCAAGGATGGTCTTGAATGGAGTCTTGAGTCTTGCGGGTGTTTGACCGTCGGTTTTTGTGTATATATATAGTGACTGCAGCTAACCCAAGGTCTCGGCAAAGCTAACTCGGTGAAACCTTATGCAGGGCAGTGCCTCGTCGTCAGGGACCTTGGATTTGCACAATTTTCAAATTACCGAGCCGACGCCTCGAATACATTGGACGTGGGTGAAAATCGAAGGGGAAAATTTCCTCGGGGACTCGTCGTTGCATGAATTTCTCGCGCGGGAACCAAGGCGACGGCACGCAGGTATCGGCAGGGTTGCTAACTCGCCTGGATTTTTATAGAGGGGAAATTTTAACCCGTCAGAGACGAAGCCAATTCCCCAACGATTGGTGTGAATTCGCCGGATTTTCTACTTTTATTTTATCCACTGCCTCCAAAGAAGAAGTCAAACTTTATTCATATATAGCAAGCGTAGTTGTAGAAGTATAAGTTTTTCCAGATCGTTGTTGTGTTTTTTTTATTAATATCATTATTAATGTATTATATCATATGTTTCATATCATATCATTAATGTATTATACCGTATGGTATCTTTGACTCTGTGAAAGGAATTAGCCTTCGGGCGTGATTTTGAAAGAAACGAATGTAATCTACTAGTATATAATAATGAATGGCGACCTTTATTGCACATTTATGTAGTATTGGACTACAAGTACAGGTCACAACAAAATATGATTAACAGATGCGATTGATAGATAAAAAATAAAACTATCATTAGATTATAAAAACTTCTCGGTTTTCAGTTATAGTAAAGATAAAAAGAACAGATATGTTTTTGAAGGAAGATTTGTCAAGTTGCATCAGGAATATAAATTTTCTAGTGCTTAAGCGTATAAAATAGGGGATTTTTACAAACTTATACATTTCATTTCTCCCGTTGCTACACAATCTACATTTTCATTTTTATTCATTTCTTTATTTCAGGTAAAAAAAACATATAACACATGTACAATACATCATTAAGACTAGAGTTCGACAATCTCATACCTCCATGACATGTTTAGTGCTTTCGTAAAGCTTAATATGCATAGTGATGATCGCATAAATGGCTTACATTTACAATCCTGCTCATTAGCAAAATTTTTATACAAATTATTCACATAGCCCCTACCTAGTAACATACAACACACTGGTGAAATCCTTACCATTTAACATGGACAACGTATGATATTGTTGGTTATATGCAAGTATGACCTCTGACATACCTTTGCCAACTCATGTTTGCTGACGAATTATACATTTTTTACTGCCAATATGCAAATTATAAGAGCCCATTTGCATATATTATATCATTTGATCATATTCTCCACCCAATGACAGGGTTATCTTAAGAAATAAGGCTATTCTAGCGTTTCCTCATAAATTATGCAAATGAAGTCCTGATTTGAATAAATTATGTTTAGTGATGTTCGCCTTAATTGAACTTCCAAGTATGGCAAGTTTTAGATTCACAGCAGTTACCACCATAAAATTGTACCAATTTGCCATTAATTATGCAAATTAGGTCTTCATTTACATAATCAATATCTACCAATGATCTTGTTGTTCTTAATTACATATGTCTAAAGTGTTTCATAGCCCTAATATGGAATACAGCAGATTTATAGAATTTCCTCATTAATTATGAAAATTAGATCCTAATTTGCATAATTGTATTTTAATCACGTCAAGCATCATTTCAGCTACCTACATACCAAAAATCATGACGATCCATCAAACAGTTGTTCAGTTATCCTCTCTCGAATATTTTTAAAGAAACCATCCTGCAGTTCCAGAACAAGCCGCTAGGGGGCCCAAACTCATGTGACTTCTTCCCAAGCACAAGAGCTACCTATCAT